TCTCGTCTAGCAGTACGAGGTGACCCACAATTTGAAAGAGGACTATCGTCAAAATAACGCCCGGCGCGGTCGTAAAAGGATTGTAGGCTCTCAATCCCTTGACGCATCTCGGACGGGATGCGCATCCCCCAGTAGAGTTGATTAAGAGGGCACGCCTCTCTAGGGGCGCGAACTGAGTTGTCAGCACAACTCAGACATTTCTCTCCCCACGAGAGGCAAGGTAAACCTGCCTCTTGAGACAATCGGTACAATTGGTACCGAGCACCGGTATGAGACTTCAGCTCAAACCTGTTGCGAGCAACATCGAGTTTATCCAACCAAACCTTGCGGCCAACATTCTCAATGCTACCGATGAAAGAATTTCACGCCTGTAACAAAGAGAGCTCGTCCCTCTTTCATTTGCAGTGGTACCATCGATGTCGAAAGAAGACATCGATGTAGAAGTCATGTTCAGTGCGATAATGGTTCGCACTGAAGTCAAGACCATGGATCCTTGACAAGTCAAAGAGTGGGATTTGACCACCCCCGGAGGATATCCTTACCACCCTCTTAGCTCGCTCACGGAACTCATCCATAACTTGTTTGCAGGAGCAGATCGCATCGCGTCACGATCCTGATCTTCTTGCGTGGTGCCAACGCAATCAATTGCACAACGATTGCCGCAATACCTCGCATTATTGCGTCTATGGCTTCGATGACTCCGCGAAGAGTCATCGACATTCTCATGATGATTTATGTTTAGCACTCGCCTCGTACGAATACGTGCGCGATCGGTTTGATCCCGGTGATGAATTCCCGGAATCGTCGGATGAACCGAACATCTCATGCCGCAATTTAAGATCGAGACTGCCGCGAGGCGCAGCAGTCTTCGTTTTCGCAACCATACGGTCGGACTTTGCGGACGACTTGGAGTCGTACGGGGGATCGGGACTCACCCGAATAGAGCACCTCATATTCGATGTCGGCGTCCATAGGACTTCCCCCCCGCGGCCGGAGATGACGGTGAAGAAGCTGCACGTGGATGACCACGTGCACCTGCAACTATGGGTGTTGCAGGCTGCTTATTAGCAGCAGGCGCATTATAGCCTGCTGCCAAGCCTTGGGTGTCATGCCCTTCTCTGACTGCACGCATCCATGCAGCCGCTTCGGACGCAGCCTTGCTCGCGGAGCGCATGTACCGACTCGTCATGCGCTCCAAAGTCGAAATAAGACGGGAAAGACCAACAAGTGCTCCCCGTCCCAAGCGCGACAGGACGGTGGTCTCACCGATTCCAACGAATCAATCGCTCACTATAGTGACTGATGGTTAAGGTAGGGGTGATGTAACGGGGTGAGCCCATTGCATAATCATTGGCACGAAAGCACCAATTTTTGAATATCATCTCTTTTGATAATATTCAATTAACATCACTCGAGAAAGGTGATGTTGCCGGAATATACCTCTAGGGGTAATATCCGAGGAGGGGTCCACTTCTTGGTTGACGTACACGGTACATCAACCAAATTAACTACCAATCGCTGCTGGACGCGCGCAGTGGGTGGTGGATAGAAGACCCACGTAGGCGACAGTAGTTTAATATAGTTAGTTTAAGACGAACGATGATTTAGTAAGAAAATAACTATATTAAATAACAGTTCTACTTTTCCATCAAGACAGAGCTTTCGGGTTCTGTATTGTCTTGGTCGCGCTTCCTCACTCCACGTGTACGTGACGTCGGGCGTACGCACCCTTGTATTGTTATCAATACGAGGCCTTGCTCAGTTATCTGAGCAAGAGAGTGCAAAGTTACATATCTAGTACAAATCAGCCATGGACATTCTCTTGTTCCTTGTACGTGTTCACGTATCATCTTTCAGTGTTAACCCGATCGATGAGATCGTCCATACGCTTTGAAATAGTTCCCTTGACTCCTTTGAACATTCATAACGCATCACCTGGTCCCAGATGCACCTTTCCATAGTGACTTGGCCACAATATCCACGACTGTTGCCATAGCCAGTTAAAACAAAGTTCCAATGTCCTTAACTCAAGAGACCTTCTCATGTATTTCTGCGATCCAGTCTTCACCTGCTCAAATATACGTATCCTCTCATTGACCAACATTCAGGTGAGTTGTATGACTTCTTCCCACTTCCGTGTCCCAGATCGCTCCATGTATATCGTCCTATTTGTCAACTTGTCCCAGATCGCTCCATAAAATCCTTCTGGTTTTCGTCTTGTCTCAGATATCGCACCGTCTCCGTCACCCTGGTAACAGTTGGAAGGACTCGTTGAGCCTCGTTGGGATCACCTTCCATCTCCCATTGGATCTCTAGATCACCTTCCATCTCCCATTGGATCTCTAGATCACCTTCCATCTCCCATTGGATCTCTAGATCACCTAATGTCGTTTTTTGCCAGTTAGTGACGTCTCAACTGAATGGTCACCGATCCACATCCCAAAATTGATTAGCGACTTTACCACATGTTCCTCATCCATCTTTTGGATTAAACCCAGATTTGTACGGCGATTTACCTACGGTGCCTTGCCACTTCCATGTTGATTATTTACGTGATCATTAGAAGGAAACTCGAGGTTCTACCAGGCTTAAGCAGGCACCGCACTATGCTGCGAACGGTACAAGCTTATTGACGCTGATAAGAGTGGAAACAGGCGCCGTGAACCTCATGCACACGAACGTGCAGAAGAAGTAAAGTAGACCGAAATCACTATACTCTGAGCTATAAAGAGCTTGGATCAATAATAGTGTAGCTTATCAATAAACCCTGCTCTCACCTGCATCAAATACAGTCGTCCCTCCATATAAGAACCTCTACAGAGGGTTGAATTCCTGTTTAAAGAACTTCGTGTCCCGCACCAAGCTGCGTCACTTGGTTTTTGTATTTTAACTTTATATTAGAGACTTAAGAAATAGGGTACAAAAACGCGCACCAAACACCAGTTTCTCCCTATATTGGACCTGCCACAGTCTCGCATTTCCTTTCCACAATGCACATTTGCTTCCATTCCACCTTAAACATGTCGTCAAAGCAAACGATTCTGACGTTGGAGAAAAAGCGTCAGGTGCAGGTGCACATCACACGCACACCAGGCATAAAACTATCCCAATACAAAATTGGGTCAGGGAGAAGCTCGTCCTTCATATCTACACAACGAACGCAGAGCGGATTCGTCAGGGACCAGCCAACGTGATCCTTGCCACGGGCAGGAAGCGCAATCGAAAGGTGCTATTTTCAGCGTTCGAGGCTGCGTTCTTCGCATTCTATCGTCTCAATAACGACAAAGCGATTCTCACAGACGATCTACTACCAGAAGTAGGTCGCTCAACCCGAGCCGCTCAAGGTACAAGCGAGAACGACCTACAGCTTTCAAGTGGGTGGCTGCACAAATTTAAGACTCGACACATCATCCAGCAGCATGTGCTTCACGGCGAGGTAGACTCAGTTGATCGTGCTCAACTCGCAGTGAACCGAATGGAGCTTAGAGAGTTGATCGAACAATATTCACCATGATGTGTATTCAATTTTGATGAATCAACTCTCTTCTATCACCTACCTCCAAAGAAGACACTGGAAACGGTCAAGCGAAACGGAAATAAGTCAGAGAAGGATCGTATCACAGTCGCAATGTGCTGCAACATGACCGGGACCGAGAAGATGGATCTCGTTGTCATAGGCAAGTCGAAGCGACCACGAGCATTTCGCAAAGCCAACACCAAGCAAAGGAAGGTTTTGTACTTCAACAAACAGACTGAGTGGCAAAACAGGTCAACGTTTGCTGGGTGGCTCCGGCATTTCGATGCCAAGATGCACAGGAGGCGAGTACTTCTCCTGCTGGACAACGCGTCGTGTCACTATGGCGCCGCTGAATGCTACAATGTCAAGCCGGCATTTCCGCCGCCAAATATGACAGCACACTTGCAACCGCTTGACGCAGGTAAGTTTGAATGGATGTTCTCTTCACCAGCAATTTATCACGTATTTTTGATGGAAATTATACGGGCACTTGAAGCGCGGTATCGAAAGAAATTTGTTTGATGTCTCCTGGATGAAATCCACACCAGATTTGACCGAAAGTTGAAAATCTTGGAGGCTGTGCGCTTCGCTATATCAAGCTGGGAGGAGGTACCCGAGCAAGTGATTCGCAACTGCTGGAGCAAGTGTGCACTCGTGGGGGCGGTAAAGATGGCCGATCTCACCCAAGTACGTGACTACAACAAACACATCTATTAATCTGTTGAGGACGAGCTGACCAAGCTCATAGAAGGTTTGACTTGCAGCGTCGGTGTCGTCGATTGCATCGGTGCGGATGACGACGAGCCGATCGAGTGCAACTCAGACGTGATAGATTATGAGGCGATTGAGAACGAAAATGATGGTGACAGTGCCGATGAGGTGACGATTGGGCCATCTGAGGTGCTAGACTGTGGTCTCCGTCTGTCACCATTTGTTTCGCTACAGCATGACAGCGACGAATTGACGAAGAAGCTGGCACGTATTACCGAGCACGTTAGACAGTAGTGGTCGATGCGAAAGACTCAGTGTACCATGGATGCATTTCTTAGAATGGGTTCAGATTGACCCTCCATATAAGAGCGTTTTATAAAAGGAACGAGGCAAAAACGCCACACATTTTGGTCCGCTACATGGAGGGATGACTGTACATCTTTATTTTTTATGGGCTGCAACTATCTGCTCACCACCTATTGCGCGAGTCCATCATTCATCACACGCTTTGTATGTTGCTATATGGCCCATACCTGCAAATGAGCAGTAGTCACCGATTTTGTTGTCTGAACATAATCTCTAAAGATAGCTTTCGCATCGACATTTGCTAATGTCAATGTCATGTAAACGAGCTCACCCTGTTACAACTCGCAACCATATGGTATAAATACCGTATGACATGGAGCAGTACCGGTATGCAACACCTCCCGTCGGCCTTCAAGGCGCAATCAATCGATAGGAGTGGTGGGGACGTCTTCCAACGTCGCTCCGCATGTCCCCCGCAACGACCGCACTGCGTCGCGCTGCGCTCGCACGTCCGCGTTCCTACGCAGCCACGTTCGCGACGTCTTCATCCCACCGTGCGCTCGCTCGTCAGTGTATGTGGCGCCATCCGTTGGCGCGTCGTAGTCGTGACCGCTTCAGCGCTTTGTACTCGACGGACAGCAGCGGTAACGACGACAGGTCGAGCGAAGAAGCTGACGGCATCAAAAAAAGAGCGATGACGTTGAAGTAGTGTCGACCAATGAACTGGTGACGGTCGGGGAAGGGGACAATGCGCCAATCTGCCCGCACGTCTTGGCCCTACCTGCTCGTCGTCCATTTTTTCCAGGCATCGTGTTGCCCATGACGATAGCAAATCCAGAGGTTACACGGGCTCTCTTGGCTCTCAAGGAGAGTGGACAAAAGTACGTTGGCGTGTTCCTCAAACGGTCCAGCGGAGATCCGTTGAAAGATAGCGGAGGGGATGACCTGGTCCGAGATTTGAGTGAACTGCACCACGTTGGGAGCTTTGCACGCATTGACAATCTGCTGCCTTTTGATACGAATTCAGTACAAGTGTTGATGGTGTCTCAACGTCGGATCGCAATTGAAGGCATTCGAGATGAAGGTCCGCCTCTTCGAGTGAAGATTAGTGCCTTGGAGAACCCACCGTTTGACCCCAAGAGCAAATTAGTTCGAGCGTACTCGAACGAGATTGTGGCTACATTGAGAGAAATCGTGAAGATGAACCCGCTGTTCAAGGACCACATGCAGTACTTCTCGCAACGGATCGATATCCACAATCCGTACAAGTTGGCAGACTTTGCGGCTTCTGTGACGTCGGCAGATGGTGACGAGTTGCAGCAGGTGATGGAAGAAGTGTCATGCGAAGGCAGGTTGAAGAAAGCGCTAGAACTGATTACGAAGGAACTGGAGCTGAGTAAAGTGCAGCAAATCATCAAAGAACAAGTGGAGGAGAAGGTGTCGAAGAATCAGCGCAATTACTTGCTGATGGAACAACTGAAGGCGATCAAGAAGGAGCTTGGCATGGAAAAGGACGACAAGGATGCTATGATTACAAAGTACCGCGAACGCCTCGCTGGGTTTGCCACAGGTAGCATTCCGGACGACGTTAACGAAGTCGTGGAAGACGAGTTGAACAAAATGTCTATGTTGGAGAAGAACTCTTCCGAGTTCAACGTCACACGTAACTACCTGGACTGGCTTACTCAGTTGCCATGGGGCAAAGCTACTGAAGAGAACTTCGATCTTGCCAAAGCAAAGCAAATCTTGAACGAGGACCATTATGGACTGATGGATATCAAAGAGCGAGTTCTGGAGTTTGTTGCTGTTTCCAAGCTGAAAGGTGATGTCCAGGGCAAGATCATCTGTTTTGTCGGTCCCCCTGGCGTGGGTAAAACGAGCATTGGCAAATCCATCGCTCGGTCGTTGAACCGCGAGTTTTTCCGCTTCTCGGTCGGCGGTCTCAGTGACGTTGCCGAAATTAAGGGTCACCGTCGTACGTACGTTGGTGCGATGCCTGGCAAAATTATCCAGTGCTTGAAGTCTACCCAGAGCTCGAACCCACTGATCTTGATTGATGAGATTGACAAGCTAGGGCGTGGATATCAGGGTGACCCGGCGTCAGCTTTGCTGGAGCTATTGGATCCATCTCAGAATAGTGGCTTTGTTGACCACTATATGGATGTGCCGGTTGATCTGTCTCGTGTCCTTTTCATCTGTACTGCAAATGTTACCGACACGATCCCCGCCCCATTGCTAGATCGAATGGAGGTTTTGCGTTTGTCGGGTTACGACTCGCCGGAAAAGCTAGCGATTGCGAGGGGATACCTTGTGCCGAAAGCCCGTGAAAAAACGGGCTTGGAGAAGTCAGAAACAACGCCAGAATCTTTGGGTTTGACTGACGACGCAATTATGGCACTAGTAAAGCAATACTGTCGCGAAAGCGGTGTCCGCAATTTAGAGAAGCACGTGGAAAAGATTTTTCGCAAGGTCGCTCTTGAGGTCGTTGAAGATATAGAGAGCGCTCAGGCTACTGAGACCCAAGAGGCTGGCGAATTGACTACTGGAGCTACAAAGGAAGCGGTAAACGAGACTGATCGCTTCCTCATCACGCCTGAAAAGCTGTCAAAATACGTTGGCAAACCTGTTTTCACATCGTAAGTAGATTTCCTATCCCCTGAGCTTGCACGCGATTGTCTCGACTGACCCATTTTCGGTTTTGGATTCCTAGTGACCGCATGTTTGACAGACAGTTTCCAGGTGTTGTAATGGGACTTGCTTGGACAGCTATGGGCGGAGCATCGCTCTATATCGAGACAAGTAGTGTTCGCACCAAGGGTGACCGACCGGGTCTTATCACTACAGGCCAGATGGGATCGGTGATGGAGGAGAGTACCAAGATTGCGCACACATTTGCTCGCAGCAAGATACACACTATTGACCCTGAGAACAAATTCTTTGAGGAGAATGAAGTGCATTTGCACGTCCCGGAGGGAGCTACGCCTAAGGATGGGCCGTCTGCTGGTTGCACCATGGTGACAGCATTGCTCTCTCTCGCCATGAACAAGTAAGCACGATAAAAGGGCTGTGATTATCGTGAACTTGACTGACCTGTTTGTGACTGTTGTGAAGGACTGTGAGACCTGACCTTGCCATGACGGGAGAGCTTTCGCTTGTGGGTAAGGTTCTACCCGTCGGTGGCATTAAGGAGAAGACCATCGCTGCTAAGCGATCAGGCGTGAATACGCTCATTCTGCCGCTCGGTAACAAGCGTGACTTTGATGAGCTTGACGAGTACTTACGGAAGGATCTTGTTGTGCATTTTGCCGATTACTACGACGACGTGTACAGGGCTGCTTTTGAGCAGTAGGCACGTGCGGTCGACATCTAAGCTATCGGCTCGTAATCGCAGGACATTACCATGAGTTGGTATCCGAATAAACTTCGTAGTTCTTACGACGAATCGGCCGCTTTGGAGCACTGGGAAGTGCAACATAGCTTGGATTAAGATGACCGAGCCCTTTGTGTCACCTGGAAACGTGAGATTTTTCGGGCGGATATGCCACTCGAGTTAACCCAATGTGACGAGATAAGCTTGTACTTCACGCGTGACGAGATAAGCAAAATAACAGTCATTGCAGTTGGTTTGCTTGTCGTCCATCCTGCAGAATCCATCTGTTTACTCGGATAATAGTCAGACAGGCTATGACGAAACAGATCACGGTCATTTACACGATGACGGTGTAGATGCATATGATGGCAAAGACATAGACCCCGTGCCATCCCGACGCACACCCCAAGAACACTCTTGTGCAGTAAAGAGGCGCAGTCAATCAAAGTAGCCAAGTCCATTTGAAACGGTTAAAGTGAACTGAATTTCATGTAGTTATGGAATTTTCGCTACGTCATTCTTCATCTCGCATCACTTGTATATTTAGCTGCGAATGCGTATATTCTATGCTTGCTCGCTTCTCGTTGCACAGGTCTTTCCTTGACGGGTGACTTGTTTCGAATATCATCATTGTGTGAATTTGCAGTAAATGAGTAGTGTTGATCAATTTTGTGTAATATTTCCTGAAGAGGTAATATTCCTATAAAATTCGTCTCAGAGGTAAACCCTCCACAATATTATCCTTCCAATGAAATATACCCGTATATATCCCACTGAAATAAAAAATGCTTGTGTATTCTTCGGTAAGTTTATATTTAAACGAACCTTATAATCAAGTCAGCGAAGAAAAAAGCGATCACCCCTATTCATGTAACGTCATGCGAAATGGTAGTATCGATTTGGTATCATGAGACTAGCAAACTTCTCGGATGCATCGGAATAACGTGAACTAGGATTTCCTTTCACAAAATTCCCCTTTTGTTCAACACGAGACGGATTTTTTTTGCCGGTAACGACGTAAGGTATACATGTATGAGCTCGATATTAAGTGAGGAAATATATATAGCAGTCGACGATCAACCGAGCCTCTTTCTTCACTACCGCAGCTCAAGTCTTTTTAGTTATGCAGCTATCGTTGAGTATAGGCCACTTGATTAAGTTTGGGTGTTTTCGTAGAAATTCCTTAGCAATTGCTGCGTCCACCATATGCTTGACGGCAAAGCCACCAGCAACCGAAACAGCAATGTTGTAAATTAATATAGCAATACTGAGTTCGCGTTTATACTACTATATAGATTCTTGTTTATTACAGACGTTATTGAGTGATCATTCATGCAAGCAGTTCTGTCGGCTAGAGTTAGCAATGCACTTTCATCCAGCAATATGGTTTTTCGATTCTCTGCACAGCAGATAATGCTAACATAAATGTTGCTTACCGTCCTTTCACTCAGGTTACGGCATGCGACAAATGCTTTGTGGTATATTTGCAAAACAATACATACCGTGGTAATGCGCTGACGACGTGCATCCACAATATGGAGTTTTGTTATGCTACTGAGTATTGCTTCGTTTTTTCACGAAGAAAACTATGACAAGTACGACGCATCAGGTGCCACTGGTGACAATGAGAACTCATGCTACGAATTGCGACATACACAATATAACACGATACCACATCAATCCAGAAACTCATGGCGTTTAGATTATTAAGATATTCTGCATGAGACCAAAGTCACGCAAGTTGTACCTGTGGCTATCAAACATGAAACGTTTTTGAAAACTTTGGTGTGTGCGATTCTATCGATCTGATGCTGATAAATATAAAAATGATGTGATAGATCGACTCATGTAAATTTAACGCCTAACAGGCCCCTCCTTCATCACCCCTACATTTCCTGCTAAACGAAAGAATTGAGAGTTTGTCACCAGAAGAGTGTTTACGGGGTTCCACTGAGACTGAGCACGATATTTTGTAAGAAATGTTTGAACAAAGTTGCTGATCTCGAACAATCGATCCTGAACCCTCACCCTCACAACAACATCGATACCACACCTTGTAAATCATATGTACCGGCAATGTATGAATGATACATGACGTCTATCGTTCGACAAACTCTTCGTCACTCATGGCGTTGGTGTTGAGGGAGACTACATCATACGCCAGCTGAAAATAAAATCAAATGAAATCGAAATCCATTAAATCAATTATTATAAACCTGGCAAAGATCACGTGAATACCTTATGTGAAGCTTGCCAATTCGGCTAGTGCACGATGCATCTTGATACGACCTTTTGCACTTCCTGCAAATCGATTGGCCGTAACATTCCGTTCAATGTCAAAGTAGATTGTCGTGTGTGCGCATCGTTGAACACAGTCAGGTGCAGCATCACGAAGCGTAAGATAACATGTGTACGTTTTGCATATCCTGTAGTCCAACAATAGTGGATCGTTCCTGAGGCAAATTGCATTCGATGTTCAACTCATCTCCGCTACATATAGAATTGGTCCTGAATACTCCATTTATCGCGAAAAGGAAATTTGAACGATTCCAGAGACACATAATTAAGAACTTGAATTTGTCGGATGAAAAGGTTGTATATTCTTGTGGAGATGAGGGCCATCATCTAGCTTCTCTATCGAAGCGAGCGTTTTTTTTACATTGTGAAGAATCTTGTCCAGTCACCGCAATTCTGCCATAAGATCGCTACGGAGATACATCGTATAGTTAGCCGATTATTTACTTGATAGTTAGTCGAACTCTTGCCTCAACATTCTTCTTGCGACGATATCGTTTAGGTTATCGGATAAGTTTATCTCCTTTCCAGCTCAAAGAATGGGTAGATGCTCTATAATAGCAATTCAACTTTGGCTTATGATCGTGATACTGATCTTACATTCTATTGAGATGTACGTAAATATGACGATATTAAGCAAGAAAGAAATGTATTAGAGTATTGTAAAATATAATTATCAAATGCATCAGAAAGACGGAAGTAAAAAATACTAAACAAACATATACATTTAAAAATGCTCTACATATCACAAAATGCACCAAACAAACTCAAAAATGCCACAAACAAACAAACCAGTGCACCACTAAATAAACCAATTAGAATGCAATAACCCAACAACAAAATTGTTCACTCATGTAAACTATTGCATTCACACCATGAAATGATGATTATACATAAACGAATAACTCAAAGTTTTCTTCTTTTTATTTAAGACATCTACATTGTTTCCGCCACATCATGAACTGCAAAAAGTTAACGATCCGTTGATGTTTCGATCGTGGCTTAGAAAATCTTTGTGATTCGATAGTACAGCTATGTTGCATTTGACCCGTTCATGTAGTAAAAGTGAGGTATATCGAGGAACGATTAGCGACCAGCAATACCCTTCTTTTGACCCGTTCATACGAACTTTATGATGTGGCAATGGGGTGGTGTGTTATTTTTCTGGTGGTACCGTTTGAATGAATAAGATGATGGAAATTCTTCTGTACATATGGCGCGTGTATCATGGTCTGTTAAATACACATAGTACAACCCCCGTTGAAATGCGCGCCGAAATAACATGGCAACAAGATCAGATATCACAACGAAGAGCGACAAAAATTCTTTGGAGAAGGTTTTTATGCAGACGATTTATCTAACTTTGAATGTCATGACAATTAAAAGACCGGAATTGAACGTACGAGTCTTAATTCCATAGATTAAAGACACTTGTCATGAAGGAGAGCGTTCATAAATATAGCAAGCTAAAAACGGGTACACGTTTTCCAAGGATAGGATCTGAAGGTTATGTGGGTGCGATAAAGTGAATGTTGGTATAATGAGTCGATGCTGACTAATACGGGACCATCTTTATAGATATGAAACTTGTAGAATTAACAACAGGTTTGGTGTTTTGTCTTCGTAGGAAGAGATTAGAGTTTTTGCCTGTTATAAGAACAATAAAAGCAAAGTAAAAATATCACGTGCAACCCCAGTATTGTGCGACCGAAGGAAGAGCAGCGGTCAAAGTAACTATCTACATATTAAAATCATCGTAACGCACTGCTTTAAATAAGGTACCTGCTTCAGATATCATAGTTATAGATAAAAAGTGCATTCAACGATAATATTACGATCTGTTTACATCTGTGTGACGCTTATTGTTGCATTGTTGGGGTGTTTATACCATATATGATGTATGCAAATCGGAATGATAGATTTTGTGTGTATGTACGATTTGGAGAACCAATATGTCGAAAATCTCATACCCTTTACATCATTCATGTCCGGCAGTGTCTTGTCAATTCTCGCTATAGATGTCTTGTTACATCACGTTTTGAGCATAAAACAGAAATGTACACTCTGAACAATTACTGTAGTATGTACTCATTAATACTATGCGCACGCATTATTATAGCAGAACAACTTCATAACATGTTAATTAAAGACATTGCGGACACATTAAGAACATCAGTCAAGGTAGTATTTTCATGACATTTGCTAACCTTATCCACCCTGCATCTATCCTAGAATAAAAGACATACCTACAGTAACCGCCACGTGGGTAATGATAAACAATTCAATATCATCTGTATACAAAGAAATACATAGCTTGGACGACAGGCCCAATGATCTAAACGAATTCTAAATTCAAATACAACAATTGTAAAAATATGTATCATCTACAGAAAAATTCTTACGATTGTCCGGATTATTTTGCATAGTCCGCACCTTCCAATTCGTCAATTTCTAATGTCTCTTTTACTTGTTGCATCGAAATAATCTTCTTCTCCGGTCGTCATCTCGTATCGTATCAAACGGTGCTTTACAAACATCGCTTGTAAAAGGAATTATTACACGATTGGCTAAGTGGCATATCTTCGAAGTCTCATATTAAGCGCTTCAAAACGTCGATAGTTTCATTTTTCATACAAAACAAAACGTCGATCGGCTTAATTTACTTCATTCAAATGACACAATTC